TGCAGAGAGTTTTTACAATTACACTGATTAAGAAGAATACGAGGGGAAGGCAAAAGAGGTTGCAGTTCAAAAGCGCTTATGAAAATATTCTCCAATAGAATCAGGTTCAGGCCAATTTCAAGATTGACCAACTATCCAATAAATGGAATCAAAGTATTTGGTATAACAAAGACCGTAAGAGAACATACAGCGGTACTGACCGGGCCAAAACCGATCACAATCTCTGTCATTTATGCAAGGCTTTTCTAGGCTTGGATCGTGCATCATGAATACTGGTCTGTCTGAAAGCAGTTCTGCAATGCCGCTATCGCGCGCATGTTGAACATAGGCTTCAGTGAGGCTCAGTGTAGCCGGGCTACTGTATTAAATAACATACTGCTTCAAATGGATTTGACTGATGACTGATTGTGTTAAGGTCAGATGATAAAGCAGAATTTATCATAGCTCGTCAATTCCAATAAACATTCGTCATTTTTCTGAAAATAAGAAAGTCTAGCAGCCGAATGATACACAATAACTGATACCATTACTTAAAGGAATCCTTCACGGAAAAATCATGATTCTATTTCAGCCATAAATCACTGGCTTGAGACTCATTATCCACGATAAGAATGAAAAGAACAGAAATATTGCTTTTGTTTTGGTAAAAAAATTCGAAAAATCGAAAGGGCTGCTACGCGTTCAAATGCCCACGGACGTCTTTCACAAATGCTGGCGACGGGGATGCTTCCACTTGGTTCTTGGAGTGCCTTCACTAGAAACTCTTTTCTGCTTTATTGCATTCACATCTTACACTTCTACTCCATCCTATTCTATCGATCGATTTGTCTCTACTCTCCGAAATCGCGCGCTTTAACCCGATTCTTTCATTGCGTCGCCTGATACGTAGCCGGCCAAAGGCCAACTTCTTTCCATGCCTCGCCTTTGGCTCCGCCCGAATTACCTTCGATGTCCATAAGTGTAGTTTTTGTACGTTTGTTTCTCTTCGGAAACCGAATCTTCATGCGTGAAACTTTGTGTGCTGTTTCCAGTGATCACAACTGACACATTCATGTTAAGAAAGAATGCAAGAATTTTCCGCGAAGGATTCCTTTAAGCTGCTTATTACAAGCCCTCAGCATAAACATCTACCATGCTTTGGATATTGGGATGGTTAGCGGTCGAATAACTTCTTATGCCGTGATGAGATAGAAATACCAATACTTATCTTATTTCCACGGACGCCGACCGAGCTGGGATTTTCTGTCGAATATATCACGACTACATCGCAAAGAAATGAGATGTCTTCTTATCGCACATCTGGATAAAACTTCATGACATTCGCCTTCCAACGCTCCTTATCAGCTCCTATCAGCCGTTATCACTTTCTGGTCCCCATCAAATATTTTCACGTCCCACCCTCTATATCATATCTGCGAAACAACTAACTCTCGCTATCGCCCCTATCAGCCGTTATCACTTTTTGGTCCCCATTAAATATGTTCCCGTCCCACCCACTACGTCATATTTGGAAGACAACGCCACACTGTTACTGGCT